ATCCTCAGGAAGTCCACTTATATAAAAGCAGAAAGTCTGCTCAAAGAAAAAGTGCAGCTGTGAATCCATGCATCTTCTGCAGTGTGTTGTGTAAGAGGAAAAACTCCCAGGCTAAGTAAAACGCAATAAAGCAGCTGTCATATAATTTATGCTTCAGACTGCTGAAAGAAGAAATGTTAGTGATTTTTTTAACATACTTCTCTTAAATAAGATTTGCTGTATCACTGAATCCATCTTTTGTTTTATTGAGTACCAGATGCCTATTCAATTATTCATGTAAGTATTGTAACCTAATATGTGACAACCGGAAATTATATTAAATAGTCTTAGACCAAGTGACATCTAATGTTTGATTAGAGATCTATTAATCACCATTTTTAACTGCTGAAACTTCTTGGGTCTTGGGTTTTGACCATATAAGAGAATCTTTCAAAACAGTATAGGTCAAATGTAATAAAATAATAGATAACAGTCTATTACGGAAAAGGAAGTAATAATTTGAAATGGATAATAAGCTTGAGGATGGAATTTCTCATATATTCAAATGATTATCTCTTACTTCAGCAGCATGGTTCTATGGTGCCTAAGGGTAAAATATTTTCCCTACAAAAATGGCACCTACCATGATTTCAGTAACAGACAATTAGAAATTTCTCTTTGTTTACTGACTAGGACTGAAAATTTCCATGATGGTAGAGAAGTGGTTTGGTATATATCATTACATTTATATCATCCCAGGAACTTTGAATCCTTAGTGGCACTCCAAATAAAAGTTTATGAATGGCTACTTTTTGCAGCAGAAGTTATATAAATATGACCCAAGGAACTTGTTAAATAACAAAGCTTAACACTAATTTTGAATAACCAGAATATATATAAAAGTAGCCCTGTCTTCCTTCAAGGAATATTTGGATAAATTTGTTTAATGTAATGACCAAATTGCTAACAGCAAGTGAAGTAGATTCGGGCCAGCTCTTTAGGAATGAAAATTTTAAGTGCCATTTCCTAGCACATTAAGGGGACTTTTCTTTCAGGAGAAGAGATGGAATTGTTTTAAAAATTATCATACTATGCAGAAACATATTTCTTTTTTACTGTCTGCATTACATCTGGTTGAGACTAAATACAGCCTAGTAGTACTCAGTATGAAATACATCACAATATAGAAAATACAGATTCCTGGTTTGAATTAACAGCATTACAACATTGCTGTTACAGAAGTATCTGTAATGTGTGCTCCTCCATTATTTTAATTAAGAAAATATACAGGAGGATCTTCAGCATATGGAAGTAATTGAAATACATGCAGCAAGCACAGAGCAGGGCAGACATTCATGTCACCTTGGCTCTCTGCTTTGCAGAGCTGGAGGACATCTGGCACCTGCCCAGAAACACTGCTGCTATTAATCATAGTAGAGTAAGAAATTACTTTGTGTTGAAACATGAGTATCCAGAAATATTCTTGGCAGGGATATTTCTCTATTACGAACGTGCTGTTAGGCTGAGTATTTGGAACACTTCTTACGTATTTTTTAAGGCTTTGTTTATATAATTCACCTTTTGAATACATTGTTTTAGAGAGGTTTCAGTAAATCAGCAAGTTCAGTCAGCAGTTTCTAACTGATCTAGTTAAAATCTCAAAGATCATTTAGGGCAAAAAGAATTGGATTGCAGGCTTTATCTGCTCTATTTCTATGATCAGAGGAGAGTCAGAGATGAGATTACAGAGTACCTGGGGTAACTACTGGAATCATAAGCACTTTCAACCACTTGGGAACTCCACTCATCGAAGAAAGCAATTTATAAAAACATCACAGTACCAAATATTTGTGAAATCATCAAACCATTCCCAGCACTTAGCAGTTCATCTAACCAAATTAGAAAGGTCAATCAGTGAAACCCAAACTGCTCTGCCTAGAATGACTTTTTGGGTCAAGAAACTCTCTTCTGGATGGTGCAAGTGTAACAGATTGCCTCAGGCACACTGGTGCTTCATCTTATGCTGACAACTCGCTAAGGACAGTGCCTTAATCTGCATGAAAAAAACCCAGAGAGGTTAGATATGCCAACAGCTGAGCAGCTGCAGCATCCAGCTCCTGTAACAGGTATGTCTATTCTTGTCAGACTTCACAGTTCTGCATTAGGTGTTCTTCATAGGGAGGTTTAAGCATAAAAGAACAAAAAGAAGTTTCAAGGACAGGGGAAGGCTGGGCACCCAAATGCTTCTCCTTCCAGTAGGAAAACAGACAAGAGAGGATGCTGAGGCTTAACAGGTTGCAGTTAAAAACCTTTACACCTTCTTGATGTATCTCTTTCTAGGCACGAGCAAACGAATTTTATATTGACTCTGTTTGTTCTAAATGGAGCATAGGGGCACACGCTCCACCCTAAAGATCTGTGTGCCCAGCAGCATTATCTAGTATCTCCTAGTTTGACATTGTACGTTCTAAGGGTATAAGCAATTACCTGTTGTTACATATTCCCAATTATTTCCAAAATCTTACTAAAAATTCAAGGACACGTTTGAAACCTGACTGGTTTCATACTTTCCTTTGACATAGATTTGTGTTGCCCTTTAATTATTTTAGATTATTTGCTGCCTGGCTGATGTTATTTTGATGTACCTTTAAATAAAATTCCAGCTCATCTCCAACCATACAATCCAGGTAGCAGACTGGAAAAGAGGAAAGATATGTCTCCTTTAACAAATGTCTTGAAGGTTTTCATCTAACCAGAGCATACATCAGGGTGATTCATATATATGCTCCTTTTCAGAGAACCAATTAACAAACTAGAGAAAAATTAGGTTGGATTTTTCTGTTCCACATGCAACTGTAAACAGAAAACACCATTGTTTCTAGCAATTCTCATTCTACACTATAAACTCAAAGGCACTTATTCTGGCCACCTTTTCTTCTCTAAAATACACATGAATTACAACCGTTACCTCTCTTCTATATTATGCTAAATATGGACAGTTGCAGCAATAGCAATATTTTGCATGGCTAGCCCAGAAACAGTAAGTGAAGCAAGCACAAAACAATAGGATAAGAAAGTGTCAAAAAGCTGGAACTGAAGCTGAGCAGAACATGAAACCTGAGGATTTAGCAGAGGTTTTTTTCTCATTTTATTTATTTATTTATATTCTTGATGTATGTATCCCTTAAGCCAAAAAAATGTTTTCTTACACACTCCTCACAAAACACAGGCTGCTGGGACCTCACAATTAGGTGACCTGTAAGGAATACTATTCCCTAATCCTCCACCTCCACTAACTATCCCAGTCACCATGTTTACCACTACCACCTAGATATCCAGGGAAAGTGTTTGTTCCACACACTGGCTGTGAATCATCTCTCTGAGCTGGGGAAGCTTTGGACCTTCCTCCCATCAGTAAGCATGGATACCAGTGATATGAGGATAACCATCTTCACTGTGGTCAGAGTTGGGTACCTAATTTATTAACTAATGACAACAATAACAAATTATACACTTACAGAGCAGACATTTCATACATTTTCAGGGCCTCACGGCTGAGAAAATGCTTGCCCCTCCATGGCTCTCTGACTCCAGGCTGATGGCAGGACAACAGGTGATGGCTTCAAACTGAAAGAGGGTGAGTTTAGATTAGATATTAGGAAGAAATTCTTCACTGTGAGCATGGTGAGGCACTGGTACAGGTTTTCCTGAGAAGTTGTGGATGCTCCATCCCTGTAAGTATTCAAGGCCAGGTTGGAGAGAGCTTTGAGCAACTCCCCTAGGTGATCTTTCAGATCCCACGCAAACTATTTTGTGATTCTATGAATCTAAGAGATAAAAACAAGACTTCTTGGAAGCTCTAATTTTTAAGCGTCCTACTCCACCAAATCTGACACACAAACTGGTGTCAGTGCTAGGAGCCAGAATACTCCAGTATCCAGACCAGCATCCCCCTTGCCCCCTACATGTTCTGTCTGAACTACCACGTAGACAGTTTCACCTACCTGCTGTTGACTGTTTTGCTCTCAAGCTTTTTCCCACATCATACACACTACAAAAATACTTTACCCTCTTGTATCCTATATACATCCCACCTGCGAGTCAGAGGCCTGACTTCAACAGCTCATAGGGACCTAGGGCAATCCAGGCTGAGCAAAACACGCTTCAAGTTCATACAGTAAAACTGTGAAGGAAAAAGTGATTAGTGGTGGAACAAAGACCAAACAAAAAAGCAAATGTGCAGGATAATATCAGCCAGCAATTGAATTAGTTTAGACTGCCAGGTAATAAGTTTTAAAATGAACACCTAGTTTTCTGTTTTTCTTTTGCTATGTCAAAGTTTGGTCAGGCACAGTGGTGCTTGGCATCATGGATGGGCTCTGCTTCAGGCAGGTAACAGCACAGACTGTGCTTCAGGTGTGCAAAATTTGGTACCAAAACTCAAAACATACCTAAATCCCTGTTACGATCTTTAACAGGCTAGATAAGTCTGCTATGGACCACATGCATATAGTATTTTTTTGGAGTATTTTTGCTCTGTTTAGCAACTAGAAGAAAGTTAAAGTAATAATTTGCTATTGCAAAATAAAAGATAAATCTGGAAATACAAACGTAAGCACAAATGTTTCCAACTTCTCAAATCCCCAAGACTAAAAGAGCTCCTCCTGCTCCCACTGCAAACCCAGTGTTGGGCACACACACCAGACCCCTGGGTGAGGTGCCAAGCATGTGTTGGGACCACCTTACATATCAACAGATCCCATGGATGACCTTGAAGCTAACCCGAAGGACTTCACGTGACAACTGCTGATCCTGAAAATCTCCTACTGCAGGTACTAAGACAGAAGTTTTCACCGCAAAACCAAAACACCAAACTGACGATACCTTCAGATGTAAAATTTTAACAGCCAAGTTTTTATATACATTTTATTTCTAAAACCGTGGAACTGAGCAATATGCTATTTTTCCACAGTTTTCAGGTCGCACTCCAAAGAGCAGCATACAACAGAAAAACATCAGGATTTGGATTTTTTTCAAATTTTTATTCAACAGCCTGTTTGCAGAATACGAATAAACAAAAGCTTACATTAAATACTGTACAAAATATTAAAGTTGTTGAGGAGCTAGTCCCCAGGTATGCTCACTTACTCTATCCTCAGCCACCTGCACTGTAGTTCATTGAACAAAACAAAACATCTGAAGGTTTTCCTGGCTGCAACTAATTATGACACATGAAAACTGCAGCCCTTGACAGGCTCCTGCTCGACAGAATTTGGCAAGACGAAAGCAGACAACTGTTTGCACTGCAATTAAAAAACCCCTGAAGTTTACAAAGGAAAAAAAAATCAAGTGTAATAAATGCATTTCTCTTAAAAACAGATGAGTGCACAATCCTGAGGCACAGTTTTCAGAGGCCAAAAAAATGTGTTTTTCTGCTCTGGAAATGCACTTTGTGGGAAATGCTCTGTATTGATAACCTGTAGGCATTTACAGATCTCTTAAAACCTTTCAGGAAAGAAAAGCAGATTACCACAGGGAGTTTCAACTAGAGTCTCTGAGTAGAAGTCTTCACAAAGATAAAGTAGTTTCAAACCAGAACCATCAACAATCATGAAGCTCCTTTACAGTCCATCACTGCCATTTTTAGTACAGTTGTTATAAAGGCCTGGATTCCCCCTCGCTCCAATCAATGTTTTTGTAAGGTGGTGTCAGTTTATGGGATGTTTTTAAAGCTATCAAAGGCCAATTTAGGGAGGAGGATCTTCTCCTCGAATAGCTTTGTACTTTGCCATGTCTTCTGGGAACACCTTCGTCAGTTCTTGAATTAGCAGGCTTTTAAATTTCTGGAAAGAGAAGAACATGTATATACATCATCTGAACAATTTATTTAGACTTCATCAGGCAATGCTATCTGATGAACAGAAATGTTTGTATACAACACTGCCTTACATTTCAGTGAACTAAGATTATGGTACCCAAAAAACCCTCAAAACCATAAAAATGCAGAAAGTTATGCTTATAAAATCCATAGAAAATGCTCACGTGAAATCCACTAGCAATGCACTAGGTAGACTAAAATGCTCTTAAATTCCCAGAAATTAACAGCATTTTCTCCTAAGAAATACTAAGCAGCTGGACTTCTCTAGTAAACTCTGGTGCAGCAATATCTGCCTAACCTTACTAAGAAAAGCTGATAAAGGATATGTCCTCTTGATCTGATATGGAACCCACTCCACCTTCAAAAAGAAACTCACAGTTGGCTTAGAAATACATAATTCTTCCAACAACATTTACAAGCGCAGAGCATATCAAAAGAAAGAGAAGCTTAGGGAATATGGAGAGCATATGGAGATATGTCTCCATTGTGCAGTACAATTTGTCTTACTCCATACTAATTAAGTTCAGCCCAAGAACATCCTGAAACACAAAGAGCATTTTCTCAAAACTCACTAAGGTCCCTTCTCTGTGCTTTTCCACAGTAGTTCCAGCACTTAAACAGTATCAAAGAATGCTTAAGTTCATACTAGATGAAAGTACAAGCTCAGAAAACCCCAAACACTGGCATGTGTTTTCATTACTTTTACAAAGATTAACTCATGCTTATAGTGCATGTTTGACATTTTAACCCTCTAAGATCCATTCAAGACCAGAAAAATACCCCTCTTCTTTTGCTTATTTCTAAATTTACACATATCAGAGTTACAGACCTGCAAAAAAACCCAAATAAAAAATATGTACTGCTAATACAACTTCAACCAAAATAAAATCACAGTGACATCTGTATCCCCAACTGTGGGATGAACTACAAGTTTCCCTTCCTGAACAGGCTGTATTAGCATCCATGAAGATTCAGGGATGCAGAGCAATTTCTAATACAAATCACATAATAACACAATTTAATAAAGGCACAAGTGAAAAATACCTACATAATTAGAGAAAAGTAAAAACTTATCAAATACATTATTGCACCAATAATTTTATTAATTCTAGTTTACCTTCATCGTGTCAATTTTTCCTTTTACTTGCTCATTTTTAGCCAAAGCTCGCTCCAGACACTCTTTAGTGTAGAGCTGAGGGTTGCGGCCTTGATCGATGTATCTGAAAATAGAAAAGATACTGCCTAAATGATCAAATTCCTACTAGGATGCTCTCCAATGTACAGCATGATTTACCTTACTTTTTCTTTCTATTTCTATCTGAAACGTGTATTTAAAAAACATATTTTAACTCAGCCATTTCCAAAAGGCAGCTCAAGGAGGACAAGGCTATGGCCAGCAAACAGCTCCTTTAAACCTCTGTTTCCAGAAAACTTGGAGAGCTTTGAAGAAAGTATTAAAAGCAAACAAAAATGTGTATCTACCAGCTCCTCACAGGCACTAAGTACAGATGAATGAAGAAAGATGATCAATTTCCAAGCAACTGAAAGAGCAGCAAGCACACAGAAATACGGCACCTGGCAGTTCAAGGATGAGGTGGCACATACTACAGTAAAGAGTAAAAAACCAACACAACTGTATCAGCAAACCTATGTGTACTTTTGCTTTGCAATATAAGGGCCTGGCAAAGGGAAATTCCATCACTGAGTAAAGAAAACAACATTTAAGACTGTCACCACAAATTTACAGCTGGAGTGAAAGCCCAACTCAAACAAGTCCTGTATAGCCAGTAACACACTAGAATACAGCAGACTTACAAAATACACCAGTAAATTAACTTGTCAGCTACATCACTAAACTTCTCTTGTGTAGCTCTTCCTCTACACTTAAGATTTTTCCTTTAATGTTTTCTCTGCCACTTCTGAAACTAAACACCTGAATACTAGCTTACTTTATTTTCACCCCCAACTTTAAATCTTGACTCTACTCCACTGTAAAAGTACGTTTCCAAAATAAAAGCCTGCTTACTAAATTGGTGTCCCTGCCCATGACAGGGGGGTTGGAACTAGATGTTCTTTAAGGTCCCTTCCAACCCAATCCATTCTGTGATGCTACGAAATCACTAGACTAGGTAAAATCTGCGTTACCACCCACATATGTAAAAGTCAACATGAGAAAGAAAAAAAAAAAAAGAAAAAAAAAAAAAAAAAAAAAAAAAAGATCTGAAAGGCCAGGTTGGACGGGGCCCTGAGCAACTCATCTAGGAGGTGGCATTCCTGCTGTGGCGGGGGAGGGGGGGGAAGTGTTGGGCCTACATGAGCTTTAAGGTCCCTTCCAATCCAAACCGTCCTGCGATTCTGTGAAAACATTTGTCTAACTTATCACCTCTCTTACCCTCTTCTGCCTGCTCACGTTTTCTTGAGGCATTCAGAAGGATAGCACTTAAGAGACAAGCAGCCCTCAGGGAAAGCACCCGGGTTGCAAAGACACGCTACCCTCTCGGGTCACCCCGGCCGCAGCAGCGACCCTCCCAGGCGCAGCGCCGCTTACTTACTCAAAGACTTCCAAAGGCACGCTGATATCGTGAAGCTGCTGCCGGCACTTGTCGATATCCTGCAGGCCCGTCACCATGAAATTCCTGTTGGGAAGAAAAACGGGTCGTTGTCAGCCGACTGAGGGGACGCTGCGCGGGTGCGAGGCCAGGGACACGACACCCCGGCCAGGGAGAGCCTGCGGCTGGGGGGAAAAGCCCCGCGGCCCGGCCCGGCCCGGCAACGGCCCCTCACAATTTCTGGTTGAGCCCCGTCTGGCTGCTGGGCTGGAAGTCGCTGACGATGATGCCGAGCTGCCGGATGTTCTCCACGAACTTCTCCAGGTGCTCCTCCAGGGAGTCGAACTTCTCGGCCATCGCCATGGCCGCCGCCGCCGCCCCGCTTCCGGCCACGGGCGCATGCGCGGGAGGGAGGCGGGGAGGTGGCTGTGACCGCGCCCCCTCCGGCGCAAACCACGCCCCTTCTGGCACAGGCCACGCCCACGCCCCCCTCAGGGCGGGGGGGTGGCGCCTCGGGAGGGGTGGGTTTGTCTGCTGCGCTCGAATGTACGCGGTGTCTGCAGGGTTCGAGTGTCTCTGTGGTCTGCGTAGAAAACAGAAGCACGTTCTGCTTCATAGTAAAAGCCTGCGATGGAATCGTCCGAGTAATGACAAAATGTGGGAACACGGGATCACAGAGCGGTTCGGGTTGGAAGCGGGCATTGAAGATTATGCAGCTCCAACCCCTCTGCCGCGGACGGGGACGCATTCCACCAGACCGGGTTGCTCAGAGCTCCATCCAGCCTGGCCTTGAACACTTTCCAGGGCTGGGGCATCCAGAGGCTTCTCTGGGCAACCTGTTCCTGTGCCTCAGCACCCTCACAGTGAAAAATTTCTTCGTAATATCCAATCTCAAACCACCCTCTTTCAGTTTGAACATATTACTCCTTGTCCTATCACGTATTAGTAAGTAATCCAGCTGCATTTATCCCTGTGGGGAAGGTTCTTTGATATGCTTAAGGTCCCATGGCACTTCACAATAACTGTGTGTTTTATAAATAGCTTGTTTCCAGCATGTCTGTTTTGGGTGGGATCTGAGCAGATCAGTCCAGTAACGCCAGGAGATAACTGATCCAGCTCTGAAATTCCCAGCACAGGAATCACATGGACCTCTTGGAGTGAGTCCAGAGAAGGGCCACCGAGTTCATAAGACTAATGGAGCACCTCTCCTCTGAGGAAAGGCTGAGAGAATTGGGATTGTTTAGCCTGGAAAAGGGAAGGCTTTGGGGTGACCTAACTGCACCCTTCTAGTACCTGAAGAGGCCTACAAGGAAGAGGGAGAGGGACGTTTTAAAAGGTAATGGCTTCAAACTGAAAGATGAGTGATTTAGATCAGATATAAGGAAAAATTCTTTACTGGGAGAGTGGCGCTGGAGGTTGCCAAGGGAAGTTGTGGCTGTCCCAGCCCTGGAAAAGTTGGATGGGGCTTTGAGCAACCTGGTCTAGTGGAAGGTGTGCCTGCCTGTGGCAGGGCAGTTGGAACTAGATGGTCTTTAAGGTTCTTTCCAACCTAAATCATTCTATGAATCTATGATTCTATGATCTGATGGTTTGGTCACAATGAAGGGTTTAAATGTATGTTTGAATGGAATAGGAACTAATTAGAATATTATAATCAATCAACATATTTAATGTATTTTATGCATTTTGTAGCTATAACTTGCAGCCATTTCTGTTCCACAATCAGAACCATCAAAGTCAGCAATTCTTAATCTCTTTGGTGTATCTTTTTTTCCATTTATGGTATCAATAACACTACCATCAAATGGTCAGTTTCTGTTCTGGGTTACCATGCTAGATCAGTAGCAGAAAGTTGGGTCTTTGAAAAATATAAGGTATTATTTAGGAGTTCATAAGTTTAAGTATACAAAAATGAATGCCTAAAATTACAAAGCAAGTGACTGTAAAGAGCACTGAATATTAAAGAAGATATAGTACTCTGCAAATGTGAAATAAAAAAACAATCCTAGGATGCAGAAAGCAATTTATCAGATCTAGGCCTTGACCATATTGTCATCCTACTAATGAACTTTGTTAGATAAATGTATACAGTGCTTTTAAGGTTAAAAATTGCTATTAATATATTACCAGTTATTAAATTTTTCTCGTGATCACTAACTTGGGCAGTGTTTTTGTGTTCAGGGGAAAAAAAGTAAAAAAGTGAAACTTGTATTCCAATATGAGAGAGAGAGAGAGACAGAAAGAAAGAGAAAAAAAAAGAGACAGAAAGAAAGAAGGAAAGATGGAAAGAAAGATAAAAAGAAAGAAAGGTTCGACCAATGAATTAATTGAGCAGTAGGTACATAGAGACAGAAAGATTTAAAAAGAAAATGTCCTAGCTTATGCTGTAAGTAACCATATTGCACTCGCACCCTGATTTCCATACAGAGAGTGGGCAATTACTGGCTTGTAAGCTGGACATCTGCACTGGCAGTTAAGCAGGGTTTGTAATAAAGGATGGAATGAGAGGCCATGTGGATCAATATGACCCATTTGGGAAGAGTAGCACAGATTACATAAAAGAAAATCCTGTTTTGCAAACCTCTAATGAGTTTTTCAAGGGGTCAGCAAGCATGTACATAAGAGCCATCTAAATGATACAATCTACTTGATTTCCCATCAGCTTTTAGTGAAATCCTTGACCAAAATCTTTTGAGGAATTCTCCTGATTTTAGCTAGAGAAGAGTTAATTTCTTCTCAGTAGCTGTTACAGTGCCGTGTTTTGGATTTGGGAATGGGAATGGTGTCGATAACACACTGATGTGCTGGATTTTTGCTAAGTTGGGTTTATCCTAAGTCAAGGACTCTTTCTTGTCTCATGCTCTGCTAGGGGGAGAGATCATAGCTGGGACAGGTGACCCAAACTGACCAAAGGGATGTTCCACACTGCCTGGTGGGCAGTTACCCAGAAGCACAGCCAGTCTGGATTTGGGAGGGGGGCCTGGCATCATTCAGCAGGGGGTGAGCAATTGCACTTGTTTGTTTCCTTTTTATTATCATTATTTTTATTTACCATTATTATTTTATTTTACTTTATTTTCAATTATTAAACTGTTCTTATCTCAACTTTCCAGTTTTACCTTGATTCTCCTCCCCAGGGAAGGGAGGAGAGGGGGAGTTGAGTGAGTGGCTGTGTGGTGCTTAATTTCCATCTGTGCTTAAACCACAACAGGAACTAAAGCAATGGAATAAGGAGAAATCTTTGACTAAATAAAGAACTGAAGGCCAGATAGGAAATGCAGGGTAGAAGTAAACATTTAATTCTTTCAGGGAAGAATTGATCCCAGAGGAGTTCAACAGGGAACTAGGCTGAGAATTGTGCCATTTAATATGTTCACAGATGACCCAGAAAAAAAGATCAGATGGTACAATGAGGAAATTGGCTTCTGAGAAAGTTACTTGGCAGACTAAAGATGAATACAGGTTGTAGGAAGTCATAGAAGGACCTAAAAAGACTTTAAGACAGATCGTGTAAAGCAATGCACATAGCAAGCAAAAACCCCTTAGTTTCACATGAAGATTCATGACCTCTTGACCATTACCATACGGGAGCAGGACTTGAGGATTGCAATAGAAAGTTCTGTGAAAGCATCAACTCAGAGCTCAGCAGTGATCAGAAGTCATGTGGAGAGCTAGGAATTGTTAGGAAAAGAATGTGAGAACAAAGCAGAAAATGTCACTGTGCTACCACATAAATCCACAGTCTGCCCCAGCCTTGAATACTGCATGCAGCTCTGGTTCCCTGGAGCAGACCTGGAAAGGAGTCAGAGCAGGGCTGCCAAGATGGCTGTAGATATGAAATGGCTTCTGTAATAGGAAAGCATGAATAGACAGGGACTCTTCAGCTTGAGAGAGAGCCCACTGATGAGATCTATGGCCAATATTTTACTGGATCTACAAAGCCATGAGCGGTTCTGGAGTCTATACTGTCTTTCAGCACAAAAGCTAGGGGCCATCAAATTAAAGACAAGAAGAGACAGCTTCAAAACATGCCAAAAAAGCAGTGATTTTTGTCATGCAAAGTGTAGGAGTATTTGCCAATGGATATAGCAAAAGTTTAGCTGGGATGAAGGAAAAATGAGACAAATGCTTGGTAGACAGAGAGTGATAGGTAAACCACACCTGGCTCAGGAAATTCTATGAACCAAAGGTAGCCAAAGGTCAGGAGGGTAGTCAGGAGAGATCTCATAGATGTTTTTCTTGTCCTCACTCTTCTGCATTTGATTCTGGTTACTTCTGATCACAGGACACTGGCCCAGATGGAGCCTTCATCTGAATCTGGGGGGTTACTGCTATGAAGTCCTGCCCACCTGGAACATCAAAGAAAGGCCTGTGCTGTGTAGGATGCAGACAGATTACATAGTGGTTTCTTATCAAGCAGAGCATCAAAAGGTTGATTTGAGACTGTTTAAATAGCCTTCGGGTCTGGAAAAAGATCAGCTGACTGTTTTCTTATTTAGCGGTATATATACTCCAGATAAATGACTTGTCCAATATAATATGGCACAATGTGGCATTTAAGATTCATTGCTGAAAGCGCTGATACAATCAACTTCTCAGAAATACAAAAAGTGACAAATAATTAATCTGTTTGTCCATCTCTAGAATTGTGACTCTCCTCTCAGCTCCTGTATTCTACTGCTAGCCAGTAAAGTGGCAGAAAATGAGTAAAGAAAGCAAAACACATCAAATTCCAGTCACTCGTGTTTTCCCTCCTTCTCTGTTTCTCACTTTTCTTCTGCGTGATTGTATCTAATGCATCAATCACTTCTTCGTCATTCTGCAGACCAAGAAGCGGAGGTTGAAATTTTAGATCATTAACTGAGAGCATCACCTACCTAAGAATTCTATTTTGGGAGCCATCTATCCTTCACTGTTTTAATTACAACAGGTAATAAGCAGAAGAGAAGCAGGGGAGATAGATGAGAAGAGCACAGACAATACCATTTACTTGCTCATGATACGTGAGGCTGATGGTATTTTTGTTTAGAATGTTTTTCAACTGACTCAGAAGCATGTGGTATTTTCACATTTTACTGCACAAAAATAATGTGATACAATAAAATAAACAATTTTTTAAAGTCAATTATGCAGCTGAATAAGAGCTGTAATTACAGTTTCCATACAGATTTGGTGTTTAGTAATATGCTCATTAATGACTTGAAATAATACGTCTTACCACAAGTTAGCAGGATGATGCATTTATGCATCACGGCTGGATCTCAGTCTTACTGAAATAATCTAAATTTATTTATCTAAGAAGTAGCAGGATCAGAATTTTGTTCATAAGACAGTTTTTGGTCTTCTAAGTCCTCCTGCAGATGTGGGGATGTTCTGGGACCTGATCC